GACCCTTCTTCTGGGCTCACCGAAACCCCTTCCTTGATAGCACTAGTCCCTGAGCCTGTAGTAGTTTCCTTCTAGTCCTGCCTGTCTGTGTCCTGTCTATCTGAAGCTCCCATACCAGTAATAGATGACCCTACAATCAACCACTTATTCCCCCCTATGTGGCTAGTCTTCACCCCTCCCCCAGCACGAAGCTCCAGTCCATAGTTTTTATCAAAATTGATATATATTTTCTCCCTCATAAACAATTGGACAAAATTTATGAGAATGCCCAATAATTCCACACACAAAGCAAAAGTTAGGGAGTTTTTCGTACTTAAAATCCACCCATTGGCTACACCCTACCTTCTTCAGGTTGGTTCATTTTTTCAAAGGTCTCCTAACATTCATACGGACCATAATTCTCATATATGTCTCCCAGTTTTCATTTGATCGGCATTCAGCATAACTAATAAATTTTCCAATATTATTACCAATATGTCTAGTTGAACCCAAATTCATAAAACCATACGCAGCATTATGGACTTGTAATCCAAAAATATGCCTCATAGAGACTAATATGTGAAGAAATATCCTCTGTCTTGATTTCTTTAAGCAGTAAAAGATTTCTTTCAAAATAACCACGGACCCTCATCTAAAACACGTCTCGTGTCTAGAATATGATAGAAAAGTAAAAATATACTTCTTATCACCAATATCTTGGACAGAAACCCCTTTGACCGGTCTCCATAGATATGCCATTAATTCTTTGAAAAACTGAAATTTGATCTTCCAATCCGTTAGGATCATGCCAACAACCAGGAAAATCGGTTTTCCTTCGTTCACCGTCTGCTCCTCCTCTTCCACATCATCGAAAACCAGGCTGTTTAGTTAACTCAGTCCGTACTGGTAAAACCGGCTTTTCGATCCATTAAATCCTGAATTTGATTTATTATTATTCTTTGTTCAAACTTTTTTAAATATTGTTTAAACGTCTTTAATCTACAATCATTATTGTCCAAAAAAAATCTACAACAATTATAATCCTATATTCGAGTTTTTCCCCAGAATAATGCTAATTAAATAAATAATTCCTAAAATACTGTTGGGTTAGTAATAATTCCCAAAATACTACTGGGTTAACCAGGGTTGCGGCGCAGTACAAAAGCCGCCACTTGAAGTGGCGGCTCTTGAGTTAGGAATTTATCGCAGTGCTTCTCCTTACCTTCACCTTCTTCGTTTTTAGGCGTATGTTTTTAACCCATGTGCCTAAGAACCCTATTGGCCTATCCTTTTTCTTAATGAATTATTAATAGGTTTTAGGATTTCGATTCTCCACTCACCTGCCACCATACTTCAATCTTTGCGTGATCATTAATTATTAAGATTCCCTTTTTTGTGTTTTGTTAATTCTATCTTACTAATAATTGTTTATCCACAATATATACCTTTAATCTTTTATTGTTTATACTCCGTATGTTTGTTTGTCATAGAGAGGGAGGGAGAAAGAGGACATGGATGGAGGGGATGGTGTAGCAGGCGGTGATGGTAAACAGTGGAGAAGAAGTTGTTGGAAGGGTGGCGTTGTTGGATTTTGATACGCTTTGCTCGAATGGGGGAAGCTGGTAAATTTGGAAAGCGAAGAGGAAGAAATGGGTGGGCATGAATACGAGATTAAATTCCTACCATTAATAAATGAAAAATATTTGCTTCTAAAATTGCAGTCAACACAAGAGCTGCCACTTCAAGTGGCGGCTTTTCTAAACCGTAGTTAATCCCAGCAGTATTTTGGGAATAATTTTTAACCCGACAGTATTTTGGGAATTATTTATTTAATTAGCATTATTTCGGAAAAAAACTCCCTATATTCCTAACTTCATATGTTTAAAAAAATGTCGGATATTCAATCATCTCATTAGCAAGACAATCACGATAAATTATTTGGAAAGCTCCCAAATAAATAGAAGTAAAAACATTTGAGAATTCAAAATACAAGTGTAATATTTTTTTCCCCCTAAATAGGTGTACGTTACTATAATCCTGAAAATTTAATTGACACATTTTGGCATTATCAGATTTTAAACATGATATTATACCGTAAAATGTGACATTATTTCTAAGTTTTACTTTAGTTACGTTGTTCTTATTTAGATATTAAATAACACTTATGCTTTGAAATTCTCAAACATTTCTACTCTTTTATGTACGTAGGGTAGTTTTTTATATTTCAACACATACATATAAAATAACTGTGCAATATTATTGCCCCCAAAAAGAATCCAAACAACCTTTTTGGATGTTATGTGTGTTTTCAATACTTATTAATAAGTACTATCGGTGGGATTAAAAAGCTAGAGAAAGAGTAGTAACAAGCTATCAATTTAGTATAGTGAAAATAACGTAGCATTATAACTTACAAGAGTGCTAATAATGGATCATTTCTATGCGTTTACAACATGCCCTATTAATTAAATGCTAATTGGGCTTGACCCAATTTATGAACCAATATTACTTTTAATGGGTCAGTCGGCCTAATAGGCAATTAAATAATCCTGGATCCATTTCTGTTAGCTGGGATGTGGTATGGGCATGTTCAAGTCTGTTCATAAGCCCGCGTGTATAGAACTAGCAAGGAAAAGTTCATATGGCACCCATTCTATTTAACATTTTTGAAAAATTGGGTCATTCTTTAGTACAGAATTAATATGGTGGCGAATCTCATAAACAAAAAAGTTGAATTAACTTGTTCAATTAATGAGGCTATGACAACATATTCAATAATGAAGTATAAGAGAAAAGCGAAGACATTCTAGAAGAAGTAGATGAAAGCATGACGTATAATGTGGTACCCAAAGTCTAAAGTATGTAATGAAATTGTGGGATAAAATTGCTAATAGACAACTACACAATTTTAAAAAATATATGTCATTGTCATAAAATTTTTTACTTTTTTATTATGTAATGTGACTATTTTATTTAAATAATTCATCTATAATGATTTTTAGGTGTATGAAATTATCTTTCATAACAATGAAAGTAAAAAGAGAGTGTACATTTAATACATGTTTCCGGTGATAGGAAGATTATTTGATCATTTAATTCAGAGAGCGTATATACTAAATCTAAATGTCATGACCTAATTTAGATAGAGATGTTAATTCACAGAGACATATCTTGATTGATTTAAGTCAAGAAAAAAGTAATATTTATCACCGTTTGAGCCACTCCACTTAAGAGTACAAAGCTAAATGCTTGAAAGACTCTATTAAAAGCACAATTATGAATTATGATAGAGTTTTCTTTGTTTTATATCTAACTAGATTCTTTACCCGTGCGTTGCACGGGATGCATAGTTTGCATACTTAAATATGTTATTAGATGACAGTGAGATCTAATGAATACTTCGAGCAACTCAGATTTACAACATTGAAGAGTTTATGATGAGTTCTTAAAAGCAGAAGGTTACGTATTCGGTGAACTTGGAATAACTTCGTGCTAACAAAAATATATTTGGGTGTATGAATATAATAACAACAGATCTAAACAATTGCGGAACATTAAAACTTTTACTGAACTTTTTGTAAACACTCAATAACCAAAAGATTATTGATAGTGTAGCTTTAAATATCAAAATTTTCAAATTATAATAGATTCTAAATCTGGTTCTATGGTAGACGATAAACAAAAGACTTTTAGTCGTTTTGTAACTTGTTTAACTTCTGTTATTTTAATAAAGGACACATTCTTCAAAAAAAAAATACTAATAACCTTCAAAGCTATCCCTTTACCAAACTCCCAAAATACCCTTAGGACAAAGATTTCCAAAAGTTTACTGTTAATTTTTACACTCCAAAACTCCAAAAGTAGTATTTTAAGAAATATGAGTATAAAAAAGAATCGGGTATCTCGCTTCTCTCTAGGGCTTCGGCCGCTTGGAGTTTTTTTCCGTCTTTGATTTTAATCGAAGGACGGCCGCTTTTTCCGTCTTCGATTTTAATCAAAGGACAGCCGCTATTTCCGTCTTCGATTTTAATCGAAGGACGGCTGTTGTTGTTTGTGCTTCATACTCGAAGGGCGGATTTGCTGTCATGGCTCGAGGAGATCGGCGTTGTGGTCAAGGTTCGAGGATGATGTATTGTTGTCGTCGTTGGAGAAGATCTGCGCCGGCTATCCGTTTACTCTGGTTGCATGAAGCAGGGATGAGTTTGGTTATGCAGGGACGGAGGATTGATGCATGACCTTTGGCAGACAGAGGTCACGGAGTATCAATTAGCATGGTACCGGTGATAAGACCTCCTCCTGAACCACCATCATGGGATGTACGAGGTGCTAGAGTTCGTGAACGCTTTTCTTGTAGTTTTTATCTGTTTGTTATTTGTTTTCTTGTATCCACTTTTGTTGTTGGTTTTGACAGTTTGTTTGAGTTTTTACCTCTCTTTATTTCATTGGGTATGGTTGGATCTATGGGAATAGGTTTGGCTGTGTCAAGCCCACTACATGCTTAGCGATTCGTGTTGCTCTCTCAAGGGTGACCGTCTCAAAGTCTCACCATAGGGTTACAGTCGTAGTTGTTGAAGTTTCAGTTGGTGTCAGTTTTATTTTCCTTTTGTTTGATGTAATGATCCTGAATCTTTTGATATGAATAGATGCACGTTTTGATGATAAAAAAAAGAAATATGAGTATTATTTTGACAAAAATTCAAACGTGTGGGTCCGAGCTGCCGAGGGAATTTTACTTTTTCTCAATAAAGAAGACGATATTTGGGTGAACCAAATTACGCAAACGGCGGGTAATCCACTAATGAGCTCTCGTCTTCCAACTTGGAACGCTGACGGAATTACAAAAGGAAAAGAATGGACCGTTGAAAATTCCACATCGACGGATCCGACGATCACCGCCACTCCCCAGCGCACCCTATTTGCCAGTCAACTCTTCACTCTCTCCCGGTCAAGCTTACCGCTATTTCACACCTATATATATCATTATTATTATGCACTCTCTAGCTAGATCTCCTGCTGTATCTAGAAGACTTTCTCTTCTTCTTTCCTTGAATTTGCCCCCAAACCAAAACGCATTATTCTGTGTTCTTCTGATCATAGTTTCAATCTGTTGTTGAATATTTCCTAGTAATTTGACTTTTGAAATCTGGGTTTTCTTGGAAATCCCTTTTCTTGTGTGAAAGATTGAATCTTTGAGTACTTTGAAGCCAATTTCTACACTGGGTGGGATTTTTTTTATTAAAACAGGACAAACAAACACAGAATTGTTGGTGGTCGTACGATGATGGATGGAAGTCAGGGCGGCGGCGGCGGTTGTTCCGCACCTGCACCATTTCTGATGAAAACATATGAATTGGTTGAGGATCCATCGTCCAACCATATTGTTTCATGGGATCCAAGTGGGCATAGTTTCGTGGTTTGGGATCCACCTAAGTTTTGTGCTGATATGCTTCCCAAATACTTCAAGCACAACAATTTTTCCAGCTTCATCAGACAGCTCAATACATATGTAAGTATTAAAATTTGACTGTGAATCCTAAGAGCTTTTTTGATTAAAATTGAATCCCGAATTGAAGTAACTATTTATAGTAAAGTACCATATTCATTTTATTTTGTAGAGTTGGAAAATGTTTTTGAATGCCCTATAACTAATTTGGAATGATCATATTTGGACAGGGGTTCAGAAAGACTGATCCAGAGCGGTGGGAATTTGCAAATGAAGAGTTTATAAGAGGACAAACACATCTCTTGAAGAACATCCACCGGCGGAAACCGATCCACAGCCACTCTGTTTCTCCGGTGACTGATTCGGAAAGGCGGGGATATGAAGAAGAGATTGAGAAACTGAGAAATGAAAATGCCTCTCTTCAATCACAAGTAGAAAAGCATGAAAAAGACAACCTCGAACACAAATTCGAATTTTGTTCCTTAGAGAATCGGCTCAAGAACATTGACAGAAGGCAGAGTCAACTCGTGGAACTCGTGGGTCAACTCGCTCAAAACCCCACATTTGCATCTTCTCTGCTTCACCACTTGGATGATCATAACAAGAGGAGGAAATTACTATCACTTCGCTTTCCCAGTACTACTACCACCACCTCCTCCATTTCTTCTGATGAAGACCAAAACCATAGTTTCTTGAGTTCCCAGAATGATTTGGTTGCAGACTTGGATTCCTCCATAGATTTTTGTGAGAATCTCATACATGGAATCATCTGTGATGGCAATTCAAGTCAAGATGGTTGTGGGACTCATTCCCAGACATCATCACCTTCAAGTTTTGTCATCAATGTAGAAACAGAACAGCAGCCCAAGAAGAGTTCAAGGATTGACATGAACACAAGCCCAGCTGAAAGTAATAGTAATCGTGAAGTTGATGGTAGCTCTTCAGCATCTGTAGTGGCTAATGGTGGGAATGATGTGTTCTGGCAGCAGTTCCTAACAGAGGCGCCCGGCCCCGGGGAAAGGTTTGATCGGCCGGAGGTCGAATCTGAAAAGAGGGAAGGTGGTGGTGGGGAGTATACTCATTTGAAAATTTGATTATGTAGCTAGTACTGTAAAATATACGGGAGACCACGTTTCTCACGTCAAATTTATATCACAAATTATGCTTTTGAGTAGAAAATCTTTAATATGGATAAATTTATTAGATATAAGACGAGAAATTGAAAACAAGTGAATTATATACTCTCTGTTCTTATATAAAAATCATCATTCATTTTACACGCAATTTAAGAAATTGAGATTATTTAACATTGTTTGCAGGCCCATGCCTCATGTAAGGCTGGAGAGGCCAATGCCTCAGGGCCCAAAAAAATCAGAAAAAATAGGAGCCCATAATTTTTTATGCATTAGTATTGTACATATGTATATTTTCTAATTCGTCCGTTTGCAAATAACGCCGCACAAAACAGGTTAACCGGCCCCTATCTGCAATAATTTTGTGATCTTGCGAAGGAGACAACTACACAAGCAATTGAAGGACGATTTAGAGCTGCGGAATAGTTGTACACCTATTGCGCGGTGTGGATGGCTTCTCTGCTAGAGCACTAAGCAGCCCCTGTCTATTATCTGGCCGACTTCTCCCTCTCCATTCTTGGCTTCTTTACTCTTTAGTTATTTTAGTAATTTGTTTTTTGAAAGATTAGTTATTTAGTTATTTTTTTTTGTATTTTCAGAGATTTTCTAATTTTATTCTCCGTATTGGATTGCTAAAAATGTGATGTATAATTGATTTGTCAGATGTGAATGCCTAATGAGTTAATTTGTAAATTTTTAAATGCTAGTTGATTCTTGTTTTTTTAGATGGATGTTTTTAATGCATACATTGTATACAAGATCTTGTTGACGATACTTGTGACTGTAGCAAGTGCAGAAAGAAGTATTTCAAAACTAAAACATTTTTACGATCAACCGTGTCCCAAGAAAGGTTGAATGGATTAGTTGTGTTATCAATTGAGAAGGAATGTATTAATGACATAGATTATGCAGACTTGATTAGTACTTTTGCAACTAAAACTATTTGACAAGTTGTACTCCGTACTTAATCAGTTGTTTTAGTAAATTCAATGTCATTTTGTCATAATCTAAGACATTTATTTTAAAATTGTGTTTTGTGATATTTAACATTTAATTTTTAATGAATCTAAATGATAAACAAATACTATGTGTACGGTCCATTTTTTGAAGTTCGACTCAGGCTCAAGTTTAGGTAGAACGACATTGATTGTTTGCTACTAGTATTTCACCCGTGTGATGCATGGATGAAAATTTTATTCATTTTTTTTATACAAAAAGGAATTGATCAAAGTATATAAAGAAAAATAATTTTAACGAATCAAAAAAAGTGTTATGAGAACATCATACGGAAAAGATTACTTTAAAATAATAAGAAATGTACTTGAAGAAATGAGAAATGAGTCTTGCGTAAATACTACTCACTTTGTATTTTAAAGTGCGGTACACTTTTATTTTTGGATGTATTTAAAAATTTGTTACATTTTCTTTTTTTGGTAATTTTTTCTTTTCAAAATACTCGATCACTCTTATTTTTTCTACTTTTTCTTTTCTCTTTTATACTTTTAATTATCTTTCATATTTTTCTACACTATTTATTACATCTACTATTTCATCCTTATTTGATGTGCCCATTGTAGTGAACTTTTAAATAGGGATGGAGTGTGTCAATATAAGTATGCTAAAACGGGTATAGTTTGCATAAAAATATCATTTTTAAAGTTAAGTTACAGTTATTATCTGGATGTTTTTCATTTAGTAGGTGTAGTCAATACATAAAGTTTCTATGAAAGTACTTTTAATAAAGAAAAGTTTCATATCATTTTTGTGTTATACTCTCTTGCGTCCCGCTATGATTGTCTTATCTTTTCTTTTCTAGTTTGTCCCACTAAGATTGTTCCATACAAAATTTGGTAAAATTTATGTGGTTCTAATTCATTTTTTACTTTATCAATTCAATATCGACCACATATATCTACTTTGCTTAGAGCATCCACAATGGATGTAGTCTCCCATTTAATTTTGCTGAGTTGGCAAAAACTTAATGGTAGATTCTATGGTACCCATAAGGTACCATAAATTTGTTCACGTGGACCAATGAGAATGTAACAGTTGAATTATTTAAATCTAAATTAAAAATGATAAAGTGATGTGTCCAATCAAATGAATGGTAGATACGGTACCCCATTTTTAAATAAGTAACAGAGTTGTCACCAAACCTAATTGCACCCTGTGTAGTTGAATTTCCAAGTGTAGAAAGCCCCAAAGACTTGACTCACCAATTTTCATTAAATGCGCATGGAAATGAAACCCCCTATTACCTCCGTCTCTCCAAGCAACCCTTATTTTACATACGATTTTGTTCTTCAAGTTGTTGAAGGACTCTATTCGTAGATTGATTATACAGAAAAGGTTTAATTTTTGTTCTGTAAAGATTGTGCTGAGAGTGGTGCAGCAATGACGGAAGAACCCAAGGACGTGTTTATTAATCTTGATAAAAAGATTGGCTTGTGCTTTCGTACCGAGGATTGTTCTTGAATCTAGAGATTTCTGAATTGGCAAATGAACTTCCATGGCTTGCCTCGCCTTGAATAAAAAATGTTGAAGGCTGCCCTTCTTTTTGGTTTTGATTTCGTTTGCTGGCATACTAATTCAGCACTACTCGTTTTTATCTCTATTAATTTAGCTGTTTTTTTAGAGAATTCCGGACTAAAAACGTTTTGAAATTCCAGAATAGGACTATCATGTTTGTTATTCTCTGAATAAGAGTAAATTTCTGTCAATTTTGGCATTACTAGGTTTCAAACTTGGCATTTTTCCCAAACTTAATTGGCTGATTACTCGTATTCAAGGAATAAAAAACATGATATTCCTATTTTGGAATTTCAAAACGTTTTTACTCCTATTTAGGGTAATTTCTAGGTAGTATTTTTTTTTGTTTAATAAAATGAAGTCCACACGGACACCTAATTTGGGATTTTTCCCCCTAATTTGGGATTTGAAACTTTATGCATTGGAGGTTTCATTGATAGGTTAATGTCTAGTGACTAGACTATTTATTATGTGGATTAGAAAGCCTCATAATAATTTGACAATTGACATAATTTATTAGACTAGAAATAAATTCATTCTTTATCTGATATATACTAGTGCATCTCGAAATATAAATACAGTCAATATGTCATTAATTTGAAATGAGAAACGAGTCAAACAATCACAATTTTGATATTAAAAGTGCAAGTGCTCAAAGTTCTTGGATAATGGAGATAGAAAACATACTCTAATAAAAAAACTAAAAGTTGTAATACATATTTTCACTGGAGCTACTAATTTCCAAGATAACACCTTTTTCCAAAAAGACAACTTCCAATTCCAGTTCATCTATGGAAAGTCATCTCCACCAACATCTCACATTTTACTTGTCGTCCATATACTTAGTTGTGTGCGACATTAAAACAAAGTAAATTTTATTTTTAGTATTTCATTTTTTAAGAATTTTATTATGTAAATTTTGGTTTTTTTATAAAAAAGTTGATACGTGTATTCGTCAGAATACAAGTATCCGAAATTTTAAAGTAATTACCAAAAAGTTGAAAACTTGTAATAAATTACAGATACACGGGAACGTACAGTACGAGTATCTTAGAGTATTCGATACGAAAACGTTTCCGGTACACCTATATAGTACCCAAGTGAAATATCCGTGCTACATAGATCTCATGCATTGCATGCGGATATTTTGAAATTATACCACACATTAGACAGTTAATCAAGAATAGAAAAACTAATAAATGATCCTCTATTAGACTTTGATGTCTTGATGCAGGTAAAGACAAACTTGGTCCTAACATTTTATAGAGCTGAGCGAGTTAAGAAAAGTACTCCCTCCGTCCCCTTAATTTTGTCCCGTTTTACCTTTTTTGTCCGTCCCACTAAGTTTGTCCCATACCATATTTGGTAACATTTGAGTGGTTAGAATTCATTCTTACTTTATTTACACTTTATCAATTCAATACCAACCACATAATTCCACTTTTTCTTAAAAATCACACCACACCCCTCCGTCCCAAACATAGGGGGACGGAGGGAGTAGGTCGTAAGATACTATGGGGTGTTTGGAATGCTTGCTTCAAACAGTTTTCAGAATCAGCTTCTGATTCATTTTTTAAAGCAGGAGCAGAATCAGAATCAGTTTTCAAAAGCGGGTCAGAATCAGTTTATAGAGCTGAAACTTTGAGCTCTATAAAAAGTGGTCACCCTTAGCTTCTATAAGGTCACCCTTAGCTTCTATAAAAAGTGGTTCTAGGAGCAAATTTGAGCACTAGAATCACTTCTGCACTTTCACCTAAACACTCCAGCTTCTGCTTCTACTCCCTAAAAGAGCAAAAGCAATTTTAAGAATCAGATCCAAACACCCCTTATATAAATTTATAACAATTTATTAGGATGTAACTTAGGATGTTTTTGCTTGGACTGTAATTTGTCTGGTCTAGTCTGATCTAGTTTGGTCTGAACTGGTCTGATTTATTTGTATTTTTATAATTACCCAAGTCTATTATGCTCTAATCTAGACTGATCTGATTTGGTCTGGTCCAAGTAAAAATATCTTTCCTTCTCCAACAATAGCTGCAATCGGTGTACACTGGTGGAGTTTCCCACAGAGCCCAGGAACCAAGAATTGCTTTTACTAGTCTTTCACCCGTGCGTTGCACGTGATGTAAAACTAAAAAGTTGTTTGTGAAGTCATTTAGTGTATTCAAATATTGCCAAATTCAAAATAGTCTAATACAATGAACCATGCAATTATTGCGTAACCTCATATCAAGTTCAAACTTTCACCCAGTTGTCCCGTAGTTTTGTGTGGCAACTAATGACACTCATTGTCCCAAATAAACAATGTAACAAATCCTGGAATGTCTTTGACATTAACCTTTACCATATATTAGTGAATACTCAAGTTAAACACTTAGTTGCATTTAGTTTATGGCCTTTCTAGTGCAAGATTCTTTCACATGTTTGGTACATCAAAGTCTATTGAAAACATCTTTAGGTTTGCCAAAAGTCCAACAAAATCTCTAAATAATAAAGGCAGTGACATAGGTTAAAGATGAATTGATCGTTATTCGAGTTTGATTTTGAGAATAGTGCATACTATTAGTACAAACACTGAATAATCAGTGAACACGTTAAGGATAAAATTAA